GTAAAAATTAAATTTAACCATATTCTCTAAAAAGGCTTTCAACAAATACCAAATTTATTTATTAGATTACTTTGAAAAAAATGAACTCTTTCACCCCTATGGCAGAATAGCTTACTGGCACAATTCATTCTTTCCCCAAATCATCAACCAAGTATCTATTTATACTAGCTACATACAGCCTTAGGAGAATTGAGAAAGCCGTCACTCAAGAAATTTTCAGAGTGCTTACTTCTCTCACATGATTCACTTTAGAGTACTCAGAGCCCTGGCGGGTGCCTGGGCCTCCTCACTAGGGGGAGGGTACATGTTCCTGCTGCAAGCAGGATACAATTGAAAATGGAGTCAGTGATAGGAGGAAGAATCATGTTTCACAGGGTCTGGGGTGGCTGCGTCAGCCCTAGTGGGATAGCATAGAGAAAACATGGCATGAATGTGTAAGGAGAGGTGATTTTGAGGATAGACAGTCACCTCAGCTTCCATTATCAATTGACATATAATAGAAAGAAAAAAATTAAGGACATTGCTTAAAGTCAAATTTTGTGAGACCCATCCCACATCTTCTGGTATCATTTCAACATGTAACACCTAAAAGACTTCTCTGACCAGCAGGGGTAGGGGAGGAGACAAACCTTCTCTCCATCTTTTGGTAAGTCCATCTCTAAAGAGGAATCCCTATTTTCCCCCTCCTTTCACTGATGGTAAGATGCAATTAAAATCATTATACATTTACTGAAGACAGAGTCAGTAAATCTTGCTATATGCTTGATGAATAAGAAGATACTGTCTAGGGGAATTTGGTGAAAACACTAGAGGTGTTGAAACAGTAGGCAAACACAGGTTGGCATAGTAAGCTTGCTAAAAAAAAGGTTGGAACTGCAACTCACAAACCTCTTTATTTCCTGCTGCTGGATGCTGTTCCACGTGCCTTCTTCTAAGAGAACAAGCAATTCCTCTATCGTTGCCTTTTCACCATGGGCCAGTTTAGGCAGTTTTTCAGCTATAAGAAACATATACAACAAAATATGGTCAAGAAAATAAGTCAGGACTTGGGCTTTTCTGTTTGAATAGTATGGCCCCGGACCATTTCAGAACCCAATTAAAGTGTCCAAGAAAGTGAGATAAAGAACATACACTCTGCAGGAAAAGGATAAAAACAGGAAGATAATTGTTTCCTCCCCAGCTGCTCACAATTCAATGCCTTAGACCTATTCACCCCTTCTTATCTAAATAAAACAAGTCACACAAAGAAAAGGCGCTGTACCTAGAGATTCTCTGATAAAGCTGTATTGAGCATCTTCATTTCTACTCTGGTAGCTTAAAATTATATTGGCCACTTTCATATCAACTCTGAGCTTGAGGCTGTCAAGGCCAAGCAATTCTAAGAAACAAACACAGGCAGCTCCTACTGAAGGTATGTGGAAGGAGGAGAGCCCTAAAACATAGGCTTCATTGCCTACTTGCTGGATCCTGAAAAAGAAAGGAATGAAAATCACATCAGCACACGACAACTGTTTCTCACCAGGAAAAGCAATGGAATTACATCAGTGACACACACAGTGCCAGGCATGTGATTTTTGGCTCCCTCCCCCTTCCCTTTTTGCCCCTTGCACACATCCGTTTAGGTTCCTGGTAGCTTTTCAGTTGTCTTCTAGCTCCATGGCCCCCCATTCCCCTAGATAGACCTTTTCCTAAAACACCTAATCATAGTCCAAATTATTCTTGCTTTTCCACCTTTATCCAGAAGACATGAAGTAGAATTTCTGAAAGACTGCCAACTTGAGACCTGATCAATTATGAGTATGTACACAAACTACCAAGAATATCAATGCCACTTAAGATTTGACATCACAAAGCACATTTTAAAGGACTCATACATGCCTCTTACATACACAGAAAAATTTCTGGAAAGATGCACAAGAAATTACATTTACTATGTGGAATGAGAATGGGAGACTGAGGGACTTTCATCTTTCATTTTCACCTTTCTGAACTACTTCAATACATTTTTATGGTACAATATACCCTTGTTATTATAAAACAAACCAGTAAAGTAAATATATACTTAGCTGTTTATTATAAGCAAATACTCTTCCCAATTCCGTGCTTTATAAGAATGAGTTATAAAAGGATGATCTTAAATACAGAATTCACATCTCCTTAGAGAATTCTTAGAGTACATGCTAACACCTGATAAATATACTTTAAAATTATATGAGATCTTATCTTTTAAAATATATTTTTAATCTTTTTTTCCCATTATCAAAAAATCAGACACACTAAATGCCACAGAAAAGCACGAATGAAAAAAAATCACCATTCAAATGTAATCACTGTTAACTGTGGTATATGTTTCCAGTATATTTTTAATGTATGTATAAAATACTACGCAGATGCGCTTTTGTTTCCTCTACTAGAAATATAAAAAACAGATAAGCCTTTTTTAAGAATACAAATTATATTTTAAATACTCACAGCTGCTTGGGAGTCTTGCTCTTGGTTAATTCCTGGACCAGAAAAGTACCAAATGCAAATGATGGCCGTCCATGATGTAAATAATAAGCAAAATTCAGACGTTCCACTATAGCATATTTATTAACCAGGTCAGGGCTAGAGAAATGTGGGAGATGACTCGATGCATCTGGGAAGGAAAGGAAGCAATATTAATCCTCTGCACCTCACCACAGTTAATTTCAGATTCTGCACATGGAAAACTTAACTCTCCAATAGTAAAACAAAACAGGGCCACGTGGGGTGGCTCACGCCTGTAACCCCAGCACTTTGGGAAGCTGAGGTGGGAAGATTGCTTGATGTGAGGAGTGCGAGACCAGACTGACCAAGACCCCATCTATACAAAAAAAAGAAAAATTAGTCAGGTGTGGTGGTGTGTGCCTGTAGTCTCAGCTACTCAGGAGGCTGAGGCAGGAGGATTGTTTGAGCCCACAAGTTTGATGTTACAGTGAACGATGATGAGGCCACTGAACTTCAGCCTGGGCAACAGAGCCAGACCCTGTCTCAAAAAAAAAAAAAAGAAAAGAAAACAGTTGCTATAATCATTTTGTATCACTCTATCGGTCTGAACCCATCAAAATCTAATAGTTTTATTTTACTTCAACGTATAAAGGTAGCCCTCATTTTATAAAAGGATGTGTACTTCAGAAGCTACATAAAAACTCTTGCAATAAATAATGCTTTTTACTCCCACTAAACTTGTAATTTTAGTTGCTTTTTTCTTTTCTTGGAGACTCTCTTAGGTTCCACAATTAGCACTGTAGAGCTGTCTCTGTCTGTAACCTGCTCAGTGCTTTGGATGAGTCTCTTTTCTCTTGGCTTCTGTATCCTCGTAAATAAAATGAGCACATTAGGCTAGATGATTTCAGAGGACTGTGCCAGATGGAGTGCTCCATGATATTTTGTTAAAGGAATCTTCCTTTGAGGGCTGTGGCCACTGAAATACAGCTTTGGCAGAGGCAGAGGCAGAGGCAGAGGCCTGGGAGGGTCCGGCTGCCAGTGGAACAGGCTCAGTGACTACTGGGGATGTATAGGGATTTCTTCTCTCAGTTTGGGGTCTTCCTGGTTGCACACCATCACATCTGTTGTTAAAGATGTTAATGTAGAACTGTGGGAGGAAGTCACAGTATCCAGAACATCCCTAAACCAACTGAAGTACACTTGCAGGGGGCAGAAGAAAGCAGATTCAGGAGTGACCTCTTAGAGTGCAATGTGAGTGCAAAAGAAAAAAAAAACTATCTTTTTAGAGAAATTCGAAGTCAGATATTTGGATGTGAGTACATTCATCCCTTGGTATCCACAAAGGACTCGCTCCAGGATACTCAAAAGCTGTGGATTTGTCATATATGGCCTTTATTATGTTAATGTACATTTCTTCTATATCTAATTTGTTGAGTTTTTATTATGAAAGGATGTTAAATTTTGCCAAATGCGCTTTTTTTGCATCTGTTGATATGATTATATGGTTTTTGTCCTTCATTCTGTTAATGTGGAATATTATATTTATTGATTTACATATGTTGAACCATCCTTATAGTTGTTTTCATTCTATATTGGAGGATCTTTTAAGTTCACAATGGCAATAATCAATAACCCTTTAGCTGTAAAATCTCTATAAATCTGCAAAGGGAGCTTTTTAATTCATTCACAAAGCTCATTTATACAATGAAATCCCTTAACATATTTGTGTAAGTCATCTATTCACCAAAGCCAACTCATCTTTCTGACAGATAATTTGAAAAGAACATACCTTTCTCCTTATTAATAACCTCCCATAATCTCGTTTTGTTATCACTAACTTTCTGATGCCATATTTATAAGGAACCTAATTATCAAAATGATGTTACCATCTTTCTAAGACCAGCAGAGTAGCTAAAGATACTCTGTGCTCCAGAAAATAGCAGGAAAAAATATTTTCTCTTTTTAGAGAAATTTGAAGTCAGAAGATATTTGGATTTGAGTACAGTCATCCTTCAGTATCCACAGGGGATTGGTTCCAGGATCCCCCTAGATACCAAAATCCACGGATGTTCATGTCCCTTTAAAATAGCACAGTATGGCCAGGCGTGGTGGCTCACGCCTGTAATCCTAGCACTCTGGGAGGCCAAGGCGGGAGGATCGCTCAAGGTCAGGAGTTCAAGACCAGCCTGAGCAAGAGCGAGACCCCGTCTCTACTGTATTTGAGGTTGATTGAATCCTCAGATGCAGAACCTATGGATATGAAGGGCCAACTGTAGTTAGAATGAAATAGCCACTCCTGTCAAGCCCTGCTCTTTAAATGCCTCTTAACCACTTACTACCTATTAAAAAAAAAAAAGAGAGACAGAGATAAAATAACATTTTGAACTGGTTTAGGAACCAGTTCTGGAAAACAGTGCATTTGTTCTTATTTTCAAATGTCAAAGCTTATTTCTGTAATAAAGTTTTATGTTCCCATGGAATTCCAGGGACTTTCACATTGTGACTTTGCTCCGCCCACAAAAATGACTTGAAGACCTGACAGGTACCTGTCATCTTACAAAGCTATTACTTAACGTAAACTCAACCTCCGAGATTAAAAACTTGTCATATGATCCTATCTGCATTCTTTGTGAGATCAGAGTGACTCTGGTAACATATAATTACACATAAAGCCAATCATCCATTCATTAAGTATTTGCTGAGTACATGTAAGGTATACAGCACTAACAGGTGCTAAATGTGCAAACTTGAGTTTTTTATTCAAGTAAGACCACAATTTTTTTTAGAGCAGGTTGGGGCCTAGCGTGCAGACTATATAAAATTCCACCTGAAGGGAAATTTTACTCTGGCCTGCAGCACAAGCCAAGTCACCAGTCTTTTTATATCCCTGTTCAGTGGTAAAACCATATGAAAAAAGAAACAAACGTTCTAGTTAAACACAACTTTCCAATTTTATAAATATGTATTATGTTGTCATGATTACTGTTTCATTTACTTTGTGCTTTATTTCCTCAAGCTTGTTTTAAAACTTCTAAAAACCAGGGCCGGGCACGGTGGTTCATGCGTGTAATCCTAGCACTTTGGGAGGCCAAGGTGGGAGGATCACTTGAGGTCAGGAGTTTGAGACCAGCCTGAGCAAAAGTTAGACCCCATCTCTACAAATAATAGAAAAATCAGCTGGGCATGGCAGCACACACCTGTAGTCCCAGCTACTCGGGAGGCTGAGGCAGAAGGAGCTTAGGAGTTTAAGGTTGCAGTGAGCTTACGATGACACCACTGTACTCTAGCCCTGGTGACAGAGTGAGACCCTGTCTCAAACAAACAAACAAAAACTTCTAAAAACCAGGGAGGGAACATACCTTCAACTTCTCTGTTCCCCTACCATACATGGCAGAGTGCTCAGGCTCCAAGGGGAAGTCAAGATGCTGGCTATGTGATGAAGTTGGAGCTATCATAACAGGACAGAAGATTCTGTCTACTCTCTTGTAACTTCATTGAGATTAGAAAGGTATTTTCTTTGACAGTGCAATAAACACTAGTTTTTCAGCACTCAACTAATATTTATTGAACATCTATTACAGGCCTGGCACTGCACTGGATTCTAGACACTAAGCAAATTCAACATATCAAAATTTGAACTTATAAAGTGGATATACTGAAAATTAATCTTTATGTATGTTAATAAATATTTATGGGGTAATACTAAGTGAAAAATACTAATGCAAAGCCTAATTTAGAGTAATAGAGACACAGCCACCACAGGTAACATGATATTAAAGGCTAACTCTAAGCACAGAGGTAAAATAGAAATAGAAAAAAACAGAGTTTAAGAACAGCACAAGAATCAGAGAAATTCTTATGGTCTACTGAGAACAGCAATGTGTGTGCATCTGGTACTTACTATGTGAGAGCTTTTTAAATGCCTTGCCTCCTTTCATTCTCACAATACTATGTGAGGTGGTCACTGTTATTAACCTTAATTTATTGGGAATTGAAGAGAGGTTAAATCACTTGCCCAAGGTCATATGGCTACTATATGGCACAGCCAGGATATGTTTAATGCTGACACCTATGCTCTTAACCTTTATGACATTATATTGAAAATGAAGAGGGATTTTTAGAAAGGGAGAAATATAAGCAAATAGGTACACATTGCATTTCCCAGCAAGAACAGCACTAGTAACCTAATACATTGACTTTTAACTCACAATATGTTTTCAATTCAGACTCCTGGAAAGTGTTATCCACTGGAACGCACCTTTATTTTTAAAATAAAAAGCAGTAAAAAAAAACTGGATTGGCTTTACATATATTAACTTCTACAACTGACATTGCTAGAATGCTTCTAAAACAAGAAGTACCCACAATGACTTACCTCCTATAGCTAGTGTGTTGGCAGACTGCCAGGCAAACAATCTGCTAGGATCAAAGGGCGATAATGACTGAAAAAGAGGAAAAGTCAAACAGAGAAGTTCATTGATTCTAAAATAAGTAAACAAAATATATAAAAGGACTTCAGAGGTAGTCTGCTTCCCTTCTGCAAGACAATTTAAGACCTTGTCAGTCTGGACATAAATTTTTTGAGCACAGCTAAAAATAAAATAGGATATGACATATCTTTTTATCTTAATAAAAATAGAACTGGCTATGTTCCTTTTAAAGACTCTGCTTATGTCAAACTATTTCTACAAAGTCTATTTTCTTTTAGTAGAAGCAGCATGAATTATAATGTGAAACAGGCTTCAGAAATGCTATGGAATCAAAAGGCAAGAGGGCTGAAGGCTAGAAAATTACCATGTAAACATGAGAAGATGAGCTAGGGGCAGGGCAGGAAAGGAAAGAGAAAGACAGCTAGAGCAGTGGTTGAAGGAATGTGATGAACAACATCAGTGAAGACAAAGAAGAAATCCTGGATCAAGGTCAAGCTAGTCAGAAAAGGTTTGGCAGCAGGGAGTAGTGGCTGTTTGGAATTTGTTCAGGTCAAAAGTTTAGCAAAAATCTATAAACAGATGGTGGGAGGGTTACAGGAAAAAACAGAACTATTAAGTCAGGATTTGGATGGCTAAGGAGAGAGCAGCTTTGATTTAAAATTAAGGGAGAATTTGTGGTCTATTAAAGAAGGAATACTTTTCCTAAAATAACCACTAAAAAATCAGATCAGTCAACTTGAAAACAGAACAAGCAACAGCCTGAAACCACTATATTTCAAGGTGATCCAAACCACTTTAGGTAGTGAAACTATGTTTTTATATAATCCACTTATAGTTTATACCAGTGCTACTCAAAGTGCTGGTCTGCGATAAGACACTTGCATGAGTATAAATCCAGCATACTGCTTCCTTCTTCAACAAAGTATTACAAAAAAAAAAAAAAAAAACAAACCCTGCTGAACTAAACTAAACCCTGTGACATAGTAGATTTACATTCTGGCACAAGGTCCTAATCTCACTGCATTCTAGCAACAAATAGTTTTCATGGACTGGCACCCGTCTGCTGACCACACTTTTGAGTAGTACCAGTCTATCCCTAAGAATTCTTCACATTAAAGTAAGAGAGATTTTGTCTTCATAAAAGAATTAGAGAGTTTATGTTGAATTGAAGACACTACGAGAATATGTCTACCCAGGGAAAAAAAAGGAAAAATCTTTTGAAATAAGCAATGAGCAAAAGAAGGTGTTCTTAACGGAGGATCCCTGAATAGGCTTCATGGAGTCTATGAATCCCTTTGAAATATAAACAAAATTATATGCATATGTGTAATTTTTTCAGGTAGAAGGTTCACAGTTCTTTCACATTCTTAAGAAGTCCTGTCCTGAACAGGTTAAGAAGCACTGATTTGGCTCACGCCTGTAATCCTAGCACTCTGGGAGGCC